GGAAGACCAGCTCTCCAACCTAGGCTCCTGTTTCCCCCTGACCCTAGTTACATCAGTCTTATCTTGGTTCCTGGAGGAGATCCAGTCCCTTCTCACTTCAGGGTCTTTGCATCTGCTGTCTTCTTAGCCTGGAAGGCTTTATAACCCCACTTTTTACATAGCTAGCTTCTTCTCGCCTTCCAGAGCTTAGCCGACATGAGTTACAGAAGTCAAAAGGGGAAAGGAACCAGAAAGGAATAGTCATCAAGAGGTGAACAGCTGGGTATCAGGAATGAGGTAGGGGGACTGAGAGACTGTAGTGGAGGGTGATGGGGGATTAGGTTGGAGAAGGACTTAGAGACAAGATGGGTGGGGATAGTGACAAAATGAGGGAGTACAATGAGAGGCAGGGACTAAGCAGAAGTGACAGACTGAGGTTGGGGGGAGCTGGCGCAGACAACACAAAGGATCGGTAGCAAACTGGAAGCAGTCTGTAACAAGTGAGTGGTAGGCTGCAAAGACACAAAGTGTGTGTAGTGGGGATAATACCATAAAGGGAACCCAGTAAGGTATATAGGGGAAGGTAACAGGTGTGAAGGAAGAGAAGATGGGGATATAAGGAGGAACGGGGCTCTTAGGAGTAAGTAGATAGGCCAGGGAAGGTGACAGAATGGAGCCTGAAGGTCACATCTGGAGCCTGAATGCAGACCATGACAGGAAAGAGGAGTGGTGATGGAAACAGAGTGCAGAAACAGAAAGAGGAGTCAGTGGTTGGACAAGAGGAGTGATGACAGTGGACACTGAGAGAGGAATGTCTCACACTGACAGGCAGGAGTGGAACAGTGGGGAGAGCACTGGAAATAGGGCAGAACACTAATGAAAAGGGTTTATAACAAATGAAGTATGAGAGAAGGAACACTAACAGAGGGGATCCTGACAGGGGACAGGCACTGACATCAAGTGCTCTGCCCACTTTGACAAGAAGGGATGCTGCTTTCACAGACACTGACAGTGAAGAGAGACCTTGATAGGCAGAGAGGAGACACTTTGGGCGTGGGGTGTGCTGACAAGGCGGCCACTGATAGGCTGGGGTGGGCACTCAAGAGATGGGACATCAACAGAGATTACTGACAGGCATATGTTGTCACTGACTAGTGGGGTGAGTTGCTGATAGCCCCTGACAGCTGGGACTGACAGGGAGAGTACTGGTGGGAGTAAAGGCCATTACAGGGGAAAGGGGCATCAACTCTGGGGACCTTACCCAGTGGGGTAAGAGGGTCTCTGACAGGGGATACTGGCTGATGGAGGGGGCGGCGCTAGCTGAGGTGCTTAAACATTGAATGGGGAGCTTTTGGCTGATTGAGGGGGCATTGGCTGATGGGCACTGACTGATGAGGAGAGCAATGACTGACAAGGTGCTGATTGATGGGGTTGCTGATGAGATGCCAACATAATGCTGACAGAGCACTGACTGACCAGAGAGCGATGACTGATGGGAGGGCACTGAATGTCCACAGGGTGATGACTGATGGGAAGGCACTGACTGTGGGGTGATGAATGACTAGAAGGCAGTGACTGTTGGGGAGCTAAATGTTCTCAAGGCGTTAATTGTCTGCGGGAGGGAGGATGCTGACTGACAGGAAGGTGCTGACTGATAGGAGGGCACTGACTGACAGAAGGATGCTAACTGACAGGGCACTGACTGACAGGAAGGTGCTGAGTGATGGGAGGGCATGACTGTCCACTGGGCACTGACTGACAGGAGGGTGCTGACTGATGGGAGGCCTCTGACAGGAGGGTTCTGACTGATGGGAGGATGCTGACTGATAGGAGGGTTCTGACTGACAAGAAGATGCTGATTGACAGGAGGGCACTGACAGGAGGCTAACAGGAGGATGCTGACTGACAGAAGGGCACTGATTGACAGGAGGCTGACAGGAGGATGCTGAATGACAGGAGGGTATTGACTGACAGGAGAGTGCTGACAGGACGCTGACGGTCCACTGGGTACTGACTGATGGGAGGGCGCTGACAGGAGGACACTGACTAACAGAAGGACTCTGACTGACAGGAGGGCGCTGATTGACAGTTGGATGCTGACTGATGGGAGGGCGCTGACAGGAGGACACTGACTAACAGAAGGACTCTGACTGACAGGACGATGCTGACTGACAGTTGGATGCTGACTGACAGGAGGGCACTGACAGGAGGCTTACAGGAGGATGCTGACAGGAGGGTGTTGACTGACAGTTGGATGCTGACTGACGGGAGAGTGCTGACAGGACGCTGACGATCCACCGGGTACTGACTGATGGGAGGGCACTGACAGGAGGACACTGACTGACAGAAGGACTCTGACTGACAGGAGGACGCTGACTGACAGTTAGATGCTGACTGACGGGAGAGTGCTGACAGGACGCTGACGATCCACTGGGTACTGACTGACGGGAGGCTGACAGGAGGATGCTGACTGACAGGAGGGTGTTGACTAACAGGAGGACGCTGACTGACAGGAGGGCACTGACTGACAGTTGGATGCTGACTGATGGGAGGGCGCTGACAGGAGGACACTGACTGACAGAAGGACTCTGACTGACAGGAGGGTGTTGACTGACAGGAGGACGCTGACTGACAGAAGGACTCTGACTGACAGTTGGATGCTGACTGATGGGAGAGTGCTGACAGGACGCTGACGATCCACCGGGTACTGACTGACGGGAGGCTGACAGGAGGATGCTGACAGGAGGGTGTTGACTAACAGGAGGACGCTGACTAACAGGAGGGCACTGACTGACAGTTGGATGCTGACTGATGGGAGGGCGCTGACAGGAGGACACTGACAGGACGATGCTGACTGACAGGAGGGCACTGACTGACAGTTGGATGCTGACTGATGGGAGGGCGCTGACAGGAGGACGCTGACTGACAGAAGGACTCTGACTGACAGGAGGGTGTTGACTGACAGGAGGATGCTGACTGACAGAAGGACTCTGACTGACAGGAAGGCACTGACAGTTGGATGCTGACTGACGGGAGGGCACTGACAGGAGGACACTGACTGACAGAAGGACTCTGACTGACAGGAGGGTGTTGACTGACAGGAGGACGCTGACTGACAGGACTCTGACTGACAGTTGGATGCTGACTGACGGGAGGGTGCTGACAGGAGGACACTGACTGACAGAAGGACTCTGACTGACAGGAGGGTGTTGACTGACAGGAGGATGCTGACAGGAGGACAATGACTGACAGAAGGACTCTGACTGACAGGAGGGTGTTGACTGACAGGAGGACTCTGACTGACAGGAGGGTGTTGACTGACAGGAGGATGCTGACTGACAGAAGGACTCTGACTGACAGGAGGGCACTGACTGACAGCTGGATGCTGACTGACGGGAGGGCGCTGACAGGAGGACACTGACTGACAGAAGGACTCTGACTGACAGGAGGGTGCTGACTGACAGGAGGACACTGACTGACAAGACTCTGACTGACAGAAGGACTCTGACAGGAGGACGCTGACTGACAGGAGGGCACTGACTGACAGTTGGATGCTGACTGACTGGAGGCTGACAGGAGGATGCTGACTGACAGGAGGACGCTGACTGACAGGAGGACGCTGACTGACAGGAGGACTCTGACTGACAGGACGACGCTGACTGACAGAAGGATTCTGACTGACAGGAGGATGCTGACTGACAGGAGGGTGCTGACTGACAGGAGGACACTGACTGACAAGACTCTGACTGACAGAAGGACTCTGACAGGAGGACGCTGACTGACAGGAAGGCACTGACTGACAGTTGGATGCTGACTGACTGGAGGCTGACAGGAGGATGCTGACTGACAGAAGGATTCTGACAGGAGGATGCTGACTGACAGGAGGGCGCTGACAGTTGGATGCTGACTGACGGGAGGCTGACAGGAGGACGCTGACTGACAGCTGGATGCTGACTGACGGGAGGCTGACAGGAGGACACTGACTGACAGAAGGATTCTGACAGGAGGATGCTGACTGACAGAAGGACTCTGACAGGAGGGTGTTGACTGACAGGAGGACGCTGACTGACAAGACTCTGACTGACAGAAGGACTCTGACTGACAGAAGGACTCTGACTGACAGAAGGACGCTGACTGACAGGAGGACGCTGACTGACAGAAGGATTCTGACTGACAGGAGGACGCTGACTGACAGAAGGACTCTGACTGACAGGAGGACGCTGACTGACAAGACTCTGACTGACAGAAGGACTCTGACAGAAGGACTCTGACAGGAGGACGCTGACTGACAGGAGGGCGCTGACTGACAGTTGGATGCTGACTGACGGGAGGCTGACAGGAGGACGCTGACTGACAGGAGGACGCTGACTGACAGAAGGATTCTGACTGACAGGAGGACGCTGACTGACAGGAGGACGCTGACTGATAGTTGGATGCTGACTGACGGGAGGCTGACAGGAGGACACTGACTGACAGAAGGATTCTGACTGACAGGAGGACGCTGACTGACAGGAGGACGCTGACTGACAGTTGGATGCTGACTGAAGGGAGGCTGACAGGAGGACACTGACTGACAGAAGGACTCTGACTGACAGGAGGGTGTTGACTGACAGGAGGACGCTGACTGACAAGACTCTGACAGAAGGACTCTGACTGACAGGAGGATGCTGACTGACAGGAGGATGCTGACTGACAGAAGGACCCTGACAGGAGGGTGTTGACTGACAGGAGGACGCTGACTGACAAGACTGACTGACAGAAGGACTCTGACTGACAGAAGGACTCTGACAGGAGGACGCTGACTGACAGGAGGACGCTGACTGACAGTTGGATGCTGACTGAAGGGAGGCTGACAGGAGGACGCTGACTGACAGGACTCTGACTGACAGGAGGATGGTGACTGACGGCCCACTGGTCACTGACTGTCGGGAGGGCACTGACTGTCCGCGGGACGCTGACTGACAACTGGGGTCCTTTCCCGCGTAGGGCCACAGGAAGCGACCAGCGACGGCTGCACTCACCTGCCTGGAGGGCCGGGGGTCGCGGTGGCTCTTTGGAGGCCCGGACGGAGGCCAGGGCGCTGGCAGAGGCGAAGCCCGGGCGGCCTGAGGCGGGCCGCACGCACATGGGCCCGGCCCGGGGCGCGGCGCCTTCGGACACGAGCGGGGCGGGCCGACAGCACGGGACCGCGGGAGCCTCAGATCGCCCCAAAATGGCGGCGGCTACGCGGGAGCGCGCGCGCTCGGGGGGCGGGGCCTCCGCGTGGGGCTGCGCGCGCGCGCGGCCGGGGGCGGAGCCCGGGGGCGGGGGCGGGGCAGACGGAAGAACGGGGCCGCCCATGAGCAGCCTGGAGTCTCTCCCTCCTGGGTCTCCAGCTAGAAACGCTGGGCGCGTGCATGGACACCCTAAAAAGCAGCACGCAGCGGCCACACCAGGTGCGTGCCCTCGGTGTTCTGTTTCCGATCTGGGCTGGCAGCCACCAGATGTCGTTTTTTCCAGGTGCCCCACAGTTTTTTGCAGTGTTTTACACATCAAATAGTATCTGTTGGGGCGCGCATCGGTGGCTCACACCTGTAATCCCAGCTCTTCAGGAGGCAGAGATCAGTAGGATCCCGGTTCAAAGCTAACCCTAGCAAACAGTTCACGAGACCCTCATCTCGAAAAAAACCTATCACAAAAAAAAAAGGGGGGGGATGGGACTGGTGGAACGGCTCAGTGTGAAGGCCCTGGGGGTGGGGGGGAATCTGTTGGAATCAATTCAATTTTTTTTTTTTTTTTTGGTACTGGGGCATGAACTCAAACCCTTCACCTTGAGCCACTCCACCAGGCCCTTTTTTTTTTTTTTTTTTTGTCTTTTCTTTTTTGGTGCTGGGATCGAACCCAGGGCCTCACGCATGCTAGGCAAGCGCTGTACCACCGAGCTACATCCCAGCCCCACCAGGCCCATTTTTGTGAAGGGTTTTATAGGCGTGAGCCACCGGCGCCAGGCCAATTTAATCTCTAAAATGAGGATTATTTCCAGTAGCAGCGTGAAGCGTGGGAAGATTCCGGAAAAAGAAATGGAACATGGAAGGAACATCTCAACACTTAGGCCACTTAAGATTTACTGCTTCTCACCTGCAAGCTCACCAGTGGTATCGGTGCAAATGCAGCCTGGCATGCTGGAGCACGCCTGTAGTCCCAAGCACTCGGGAGGCGGAGGCAGAAGCATCGAGAGTTCGAGACCAACCTGGGCTACATGGCAAAAGGTTGTCTGAAAAATGGGAAGGGGTAGAGAGAGGCGAGGGCGGAGGGAGGGAGAAAGCTCCATCTGGGCCTTTCCAACATTTTTGCTTTGAGCTGGCACTACCGTACCTTGTCAGCAGAGGGCGCCGGAGAGAGGCCGCACGGTGGAAAGGGTTTCTGTCCCAGGGCTCGCTGTGGGTTGGGACACCTGGACCTCCCGTGCGCGGTGTCCTCTGGTGGTCGGTCACACCCGGCGCCCAGCCACTTTCCCAGCAACAGCCTGCCGGGCTTTCTAGCAAACTGTCTTTGGAGAGGCTTCCGCCGAGCAACCCCACTCCATCTGAAAGGGCCGGTTTCTAGCAAGTTCCATTTAGGAACTTCCGGAAGGTGGGATTGGGTGCTCACCAAGGGGCGGCGGAAGCTGGGCAGGCTCACCGCTACTGAATCTGGAGGTGCTGCGAGAGTGGGGATTTGGGTGGAGGCACCAAATACCGATGTCCACCTGCCTTGCGGCAGCCTGGAGCATGTGCAGTCCTCTGCCTGACCTTGCACTGCACCTGTGCTCAAGCAGAGTCCCTAGGTTGCCAGAGAAAGTGGCTCTTCTCTCACCCACAGTGAAACATCAGCAAACCTATACCTCTCAGGCCGGGGATGTTGCTCAGTGGTTTTTTGTTTGCCTAGCATGCAGGGCCCTGGGTTCCATCTCCCAATATTACCAAAAAAGAGAAGAAAAGAGAGGAGAGAGAGGGAAGAGAGGAGACAGAGAGAGAAAGAGAAAGGAAAAACCTGTACCCTCCACTTCAATATGTAGCCTGCTCTTTTTCTCACTTGTCTCACAACAGCCTACAAATGGACTCCCTACTGTTATCCTGGTGTATTTGTTGTAGGCCACTCAGCATAGCACCCAGAGGAATCCAGTTAAAATAGGTCAAAACGGACCTCGTCTCCTAGGAGCTCGGGCTCAAACAGGATGAAGCAAGGACCTTTGTCCAGAAGGTAGTGTGTGACCTGCTGTCCCTTAACTCATTTCATTTGGCTCCAGCTCACACTGCCCTTGCATCCTTCCAGGCTCCTACCTTAGTTCCTATGCTTGCTGTCTTGTCTCCTAGATCATTAGTCATTGCCTCCTTCTCAGTGACGGCAGCCCTGACCTATGTCAAGCCTAGAAGGGCACTGTGGCTCATGCCTGTAATCCTAGCTACTCAGGAGGCAGAGATGTGGAGGATCACGGTTCGAGGCCAATCTGGGCAAATATAAGAGACTCTATCTTGAAAATACCCATCACAAAAAAGGACTGGCTCAAGGTGTAGACCGAGTTTAAACCCCAGTACCACAAAAAAAAAAAAAAAAAAAAAAAAAAAAAAACAAGATTTTTTTTTTTTAAGGGAAAACATGAAATGTACAGAGAAAAAATGATAGCAAGATAGACATTCCTGGCACACCAGAGAAAATGCATTGCAGATCTGTCTTTACCACTCCTGGGTACATATCTGAAGTAAATGGAACTAGCATACAAGAGACTCCTGCACATTCATGTTCATGCAGTACTGTTCACAACAGCCAAGATGCAGAATCTGCATCAATCAACAGATTAGTGGATGAAGAAAATGTGGTATAAATACACAATACACAATGGATTGTCATTCAGCCTGTTACTTGCAGGAAAATGGATGGAACTGAAAGAAATCGTGCTGAGCAAAATAACTCAAGTGCAGAAAGACAAGTACCACATTTTTTATTATCTCATATGCAAAGACAAATGACAACAAAAAGACCTGAAAGTAGAAGAGAGACTATTAAGAGACTGGGGCCAGGGGCCAGGGGCCAGGGAGAGGAGAAAAGGGGGAAGAGAGGGTGAAAGGGAGGGCAGATGAGATCAAAGCAAAATACATGAATTTGGGCTTGTGGAGTGGCTCAAGTGGTACAGCACTTGCCTGGCAAGTATGAGGCCCTGAGTTCAAACCCCAGTACTGCCAAAAAGAAAAAAAAAATACATGGACATATGGATGAATGGAAATGTCAGTTAAACCCTTTAATTTGTATAATTAAAACATGCTAATAAAAATGCATTGTAGCAGAACCACCCTATCAGGAATTCAAGCTAAAAAGGAAGTAAGCTACATGTTCACTCAAACCTGTGGAAATGAAGAGCTGCAGAGCAAAATCCAACAACAAATAATGAGGACATTCGAGGGGCACCAGTGGCTCACGCCTGTAATCCTGGCTACTCAAGAGGCAGAGATTGGAAGGACTGAGGTTCAAAGCCAGTGGGGCAAATAGTTCTCTGTCTTGAAAAAACCCTTCACAAAAAAGGTCTGGTGGACTGGCTCAAGGTGTAGGCCCTGCGTTCAAACCCCAGTACTGCAAAAATAAATAAGTAAAAATTTTTTTTAAGAAGGCAATCTGCCAAGTATAGTGAGGATTATGTCAAGGAATACAGGTTGAAGCACCTGAAACTCAAGGTATTTGACAAAATCTGATGCCTATTTATGATAAATACCCTCAACAAACTAGGAATAGATGGAAACTTTCTCAATTTCAAAGAAGCTATCTATGGAAATATATAGTCTAACATATTTAATGAAAGATTTCTGGCTTTTCTGCTAAGATTGTAAATGAGGCAATGATGTCTGCTTTCTCCATTTTGATTCTGTATTGCACAAGGTTTCAGCTAGTGCCGTAAGGCAAAAAAAAAAAAAAAAAAACCCAAAACCCACAAGGGAGCTGGGGTTGTGGCTTGGTGGCAAATGCTTGCCTGGCATGCAAAAGGTCCTGGCGTCCATCCCCAGCATTGCAGAAATAGAAGAAACATAACAGGAATTATTAGGACCTTAGGTTAAGAAAACACTTCTTAGCTATGACACCAAAAGCGTAATCCATGAAAAAAGTTGATAAATTAGATTTCATCAAAATTAAATTTTGTCATTGCTGAGACAGGCTCTCACTATGTTGCCTGCTCTTGAATTCCATGATTCAAGCAATCTTCCTGCCTCTGCCTCCTGAGTAGCTGGGACTTCAGGCTTGTGCTATTGTGCATAGCAAAATTAATTTTTTTTTTTGCTCTTCAAAAGATGCCATTAGTTGGGTGCCAGTGGCTCATGCCTGTAATCCTAGCTACTCAAGAGGTAGAGATCAGGAGGATTGTGGTTCAAAGCCAACTCCAGGCAAATAGTTCGAGAAACCCTATCTCAAAAAAAACTCATCACACAAAGGGCTGGTGGGGTGGCTCAAGGTGAAGGCCTTGTGTTCAAACCCCAGTTTGAAAAAAAAAAAAGATGCCATTAATAGCTGGGCATGATGGCACATGCCTATAATCCCAGAACTGGGGTAGGTTGAGGAAGAAGGGTCTCTTGAACCCAGGAGTTCAGGGCTAGCTTAGCAACATGGTTAGACTCTAGCTCAAAAGCACAACAAATAAAAGACACCACTAAGAAAAATAAAAGACTATTGCGGCACTATTCACAATAGCCAAGGTATGGAAACAGCGAAGATGCCCCACCACTGACGAATGGATCAAGAAAATGTGGTATTTTCTTGGAATGGAATTTTATGCAGCCATGAAGAAGAACGAAATGTTAGCATTCGCTGGTAAATGGATGGAATTGGAGAACATCATTCTGAGTGAGGTGAGCCTGGCCCAAAAGACCAAAAATCGTATGTTCTCCCTCATATGTGGACATTAGATCAAGGGCAAACACAACAGGGGATTGGACTTTGATCACAAGATAAAAGCAAGAGCACACAAGGGAGGGGTGAGGACAGGTAAGACACCTAAAAAACTAGATAGCATTTGTTGCCCTCAACACAGAGAAACTAAAGCAGATACTTTAAAGCAACTGAGGCCAATAGGAGAAGGGGACCAGGAACTAGAGAAAAGGTTAGATCAAAAAGAATTAACCTAGAAGGTAACACACACGCACAGGAAATCAATGTGAGTCAATGCCCTGTATAGCTATCCTTATCTCAACCAGCAAAACCC